CTCCTCCCCCCCCCCCCCCCCCCCATGAAAAATGGTTTCTCAATGAAAACCCGCGCTGTTGTAGAAAACTTCTCTTTGGGTTGAAAGGTTCTGATTTTGCTTCCCTGCCCCAACACAAAATAGAATGGGACCAAAAAACCTCTCTCCCTTTTTTGGTGGTGGTGGTTGTTTCTTTTGTAAATATTTCAAACAAACTTTTATTTTTTTGGTTCCCCTCCAAAAAATAGGGAGAACTTGTGGGTTTCCTCTTTCGCTGTCAATTTCCTGCGAAAATTGGCATCTATACCAAACCCATAGGGAAATGTGACATGCTTTCTCATCCTCTGCTACATGCTGCTGCTTTGACTATGTTTTTGACGGGAAAATATGGGCACTGAAAATTCCCTTCTGCATCCTCCTAGGTTTTGTCCTCCCATCCTTGCCATTGCAAGGCAGACACCAACGTTCCTGTGAAAGGCAAGGTGGCGTAGTGCAGGGAGAAGTGAGCTCTGGACTGCGAGTCTGGAACCACAGAGGAACTAATTAATCACGGCTCTGACATGCTTGCTCAGTGGCCTTGGGCTAAGTCTCCTCCGTCTGTTGCATCAATGGAGTGGGGATGAGGATCACGTGGTGTGAGAGACGTGTTCATAGAGCCACTTGAAAGCAAGTGGGAGGTGGGGTGATCCTCAGTTTAGGAATGTTTTGCTGTTGGAGGTTACTCCTTCCTGGTGATAGTGATTGCTGTTGGGACCAGCTTCATGGCTAGAATTACCCAGGGTAGCTACAGAAGATGGAAGATCTGGCTTGGTTGGGAGGGGGCCCATATTTTTTATATCCCTATGGTGCTTGTGCAGCCAAGGGGGCTAAATGTGTTGTAAGTGCTGGAGGTGCATTCCCGAACAACATGGCCCTCTGTACTCTCAAGGGTCCCGTGATGGGCACTTACTACTTTCAACCTCTGGCTTGTGCTGCGAGAGCAGCTAGCAACCCCTGTCCTGCACCAGGGCCACCTTGTCCCAACACAGCCCAAAGAGGCAGTCCTGGCCCCGAAGACTTTGCAATCCAAGTAATTACATAACGAGGGAGTTGTTTCCTGTATGCAGAAAAGTGTTCAAGTGTGACAACTGGAAGGAGCGGTAATGCTTCCCCAAAGAAGGTACATCACTCAACAAGGACTCGGAGTTTGTGTGTCTATACTCTCAGTAGCTGAATGCCTCCTGGCAAATGGACTTGTATATGCAAGGGCCACAGCTTGAACTAACTGTGGGAGGCTAATGGGTCTTCAGGTGGCTTTCCAGAGAGCTGACGTGCACGAAACATACAAAGTTTGCAACACCTGCATTGCTTGTTTTGTTTTTTTAATTCATTGGGGGAGGGGATGCTGACAAATGGGGTAGAGCTGCAGTACTGGAATCCGGAGCCATCCTTTCTTCAAAGTTGCAGGAGATCTGGCTTTGTAGCTCTACTTCAGGCTTATCCCTAGTTAACTGGATAGTAGGGAGGGGTGTGGGATAATCAAGGAGTAAACTCTGTCTCAGCTGTGGGTTCCTGTCCAGAGTGCCTAAGGAGGAAAATGTAAAGCTGCAATCTGATGCAGGTTCTAACGAGGGTTCTCCCCTGGGGGAAGCTGTCTGTGCAGCAGTGCTTGGCTAGAAGCATGTGCCTCATGATATGCTTGGGGAAGGGAGTGTTCTTCTTGGTGTAACTTTCCCAGTGCTCCTCCGCCCTGCCCTGGGCTGCTGTGACCCGAAGCGAGTGAGCACTCCCGAGTTCAAAGCATGCCGTAACGAAGCTTCAGTTCCCAGCCAGACACAGGTATGTGGGAAGCTATTTTTGTTTGGTCTTGTGGGGTTTTTTGGCCAGCGGGATGGTTGTTCATGCCTTCTTTACTGCAGGGCCCTTTTTTCAGGCTGCTTGCCAGTGTGACTCATGCCTTTTTTTTCTTTCCCTCCTCTGTGCTGTTCCACCTGTTAGTCCCAAACCACTGTACACCACAGCCTGCTCCCACCCTGTTTTCCCCCCTCAGCCTTTCGAATACAAAGGCCAGCTAACAGTTTTTTTGCTTTGGGACTGTGGGCTAAGAGAGGCTAGTCGGCAGTAGTGGCTGGGTGGTTATTCTGGGCCATGATTCAAGTTCTCCAGTCTCTTATTTGCAGAGTACCCCGGGAA